AGAACACAACCTTGTCGCACACCTTTCCCAACCAATTTTAAAACATGAAGTGCCATTAAGTTGGTTCTGATTCATAATGCCCCTGTATAGGGTTTCTGAGGAGTGGCTGGTGGGTTTGAACTGATGACCTTGCAGTTAGCAGTCCAGTGTTTGTCCTAAAGTACCACACCATTGAGTCATCTCCAACTCATAGTGACCCCTTATACAACAGAACAGAACACTGCCCAATCCTCCACCATCCTCACAATTATTGGCATGCTTGAGCCCATCATTGCAGCCCCCAATGGCAATCCATTTCATTGGGGGAATTTCTCTTTATCACTTACCCTCTACATTACCAAGCATAATGCCCTTTTCTAGGGACTGGTCCCTCCTGATGATATGTTTAAAGTATGTGAGTCAGTCTCACCATCTGGCTTCTAAGGGGGCATTCTGGCTGTACTCAATGCAAAACTGATTTGTTTGTTCATCTGGCAGTCCATGGTATTTTCAGTATTCTTCACCAACACCATAATTCAAATGCATTGATTCTTCTCTGGTCTTCCTTATTCATTGTCCAGATTTCATATGAGGTGATGGAAGATATCAATGCTTGATTCAGGCCACCTCAGTTCTCAAAGTGACAGCTTTGCTCTTGGACATTTTAAAGAGGTCTTGTGTAAGTACACATTCTTTCCTGATTGGATGGCCATCTGTATCACAAGGTATGCAATCACATTAATTGGGCCAAAGTTGTCTTTGCAGAGGGAGAGTCCTTCAGGTCCAACACCAGTGAGGAGTTTCTGCCCCTTGATGTCCCTCATAGAATGCCACTTTATGCCATAGTTCTCCATAGCCAACGCAATCTGTAAAACCTGGTATTCTGAAGAAGCCTGGCTGGTCTCCTCCAACACCTTACGCTTTGCAGCAATGCTTCAGGGCAGTGCTTAGTTTCTTGGCACACAGTTTCTCATACTTGACAGTGTTCTGGATGTAGTCTCCAAACTTAGTCTGAGTCAGGAGGGCACTGAGTTCCACAACCTGCTCTGGGGAACACTAGAAATGGATTCTTTATTGTGCAAGAAAAGGGTGTGTATTGTCTGCTCCTGTGGAGTCCTAGAGGTGCTTAGGAAAAGCACTGGCCTACTAACCATAAGGTTGGCAGTTAAAACCCACCTTGGAAACCCTATACCGGGTGGCTATAAGTCAAAACCCACTCAACTGCACTTAACAAAAACAATCTGCTCCTGTAAAATGAGATGAAGCTCTACAATGAGCTCGATTCCCAGTTTAAGCCGGTTAAGGGGCTAAATCCATCCATCTTCTTAGAAATCCATTTTCTCAGATTTAGCCAAAATCATCCAGATTCCAAATCATTTGCACATCTGCTTGAAGCTGTCCTTGCCTTGGCTTTCAGAGACTCGCCCATTGGTGGTGCTTTGGAGTGAGTTCTCAAATCTTTTTGACTAGATTCGCCCATTGGTGGTGCTTTGGAGTGAGTTCTCAAATCAAATTTGACTAGAGACTCGCCCATTGGTGGTGCTTTGGAGTGAGTTCTCAAATCTTTTTGACTAGATTCGCCCATTGGTGGTGCTTTGGAGTGAGTTCTCAAATCAAATTTGACTAGAGACTCGCCCATTGGTGGTGCTTTGGAGTGAGTTCTCAAATCTTTTATAACCTTATCATAAGTATCCTTTGTTGTTTTTAGGTGCCATCAAATCAGTACTGACCCATAGCGACCTTATGCCCAGCAGAACAAAACACTGCCTGATCCTGGGCCAACCTCACTACTGTTGCCACGCTTAAGTCCATCAATGCTGTCACTTGGCCAGTCTATCTTGTTGGGGGTCTTCATCTTTTTCTCTAACCCTCCACCTTACCAAACATGATATCCTTCTTCAGTGACTGGTCCCTCCTGACAATATGTCTGAAGTATGAGAGATGAAATTTGGCCATCTTGGCCTCCAAGGAGCAACTAATTGACTATAATATGAAAGAGGTTCAATATGCTTTGTGGGGTATATAACCAGGCAGCTGTCTTTGAATCTTAGCTATGTCTTGTTCAATTTCTTCTTTTTGGTATAATTAAGATAAAATGGTATGGACTGACTGGCTCATTTAGTTTTCTGTTAGAGAATTATTTAAATGGGAAATGGTTCTATATTTATTTAAAAACTCATATATCTTAGCAAATTAACATATGACTGATGTTAACAGTAAAGAGTTAATAGAATATAAAAGATGGAAGCAATTATAAAGAATGTAATAAAAACTGAAAATAAGAAAGCTAATATGGATTCTAATCTCAATCTGGTCATAAAAATATAACTGTTTTCTAAAAGCAGTATTTAGATAATGAGATCTGGGCTTACGAAGGAAAAACAACACAAGGAATAATGCTTCCTAGTGAGAGCCCAGTGATAATAAAGTGAAGAATTAGGATAATTAGAAAACTAATTTCTAATACCCTTAGAGTTAAAGTTTTTGCCCTTTAAAAGTCTGAGTTTATAGAGTAAGAGTTATTTTTAAGACAATGGAAATTAAAGAAGTGACTACTACTCTCAGAATTTCCATATAAGCTATAAATTTGATTTAAGCAAAAATAACTGTAACAGTTAAAGATGGTGCCACGAAAACCATTAAAATATTCATAATTGATCATTATGATTTTCATTGACTGGTAAACTTAAAAAGGATTGCATTATCATATAAATAACTTATTTTTACATTTCTAGCTGATAAAATATAACAATTTTTAAAAGACTAGATCAAAAAGTAAAAGCTCAAATTTTACTGTAGGTTGATTGTTCAGGCAGTTTCAGGTCAGGTCTGGGAACTCAGTCTACTCATCTGTAATCTGCTTCACTTTCTGACGATGTTTGAATTTTTCTTCCAGTCTTTTAGGAGTCTCCACAGTTCATTTGGAAGTAGGGATACATGGACTCAAGTTTTGATTTCCTGCAATTTCTCAGCACGTGGATTAGTTAGAAAGATTAGGTCTACTCTATTGAGATTTAGTAAACAAAAATCCTCACCACTGGACCAATAAA